ATATTTAGCAATTGTCCTCCGTCTTGAAGAGACATGATGAAGTAACCTGATCACCAGAATTGTTGAAGCTATTAATATTAGATCGTTCAGTGTCACAAGAATATCATCATTTAGTGTCAATATGAGAGTAATATCAATGAATTCATACTTCCAGTTCATAATTTCAAAACATATATTTTTATAACACAAAAAAGTTGAATATAATCTTAGCGTCTCGTACTCTCGTCACTGTCAATCTATTGAACTCTTCTGTTGTTTATATTAAAACAGCATCCAAAATTATCTCCATAGCGCGCACGAGCTTGAACAAAAGCTGTTTATCCAGCTTTTGCACGGTCAAAAATTTCGCCCTTTTCTTTGCCACGAAGACAGGAACTGCATGCAGCCACATTCTCTATCACACTTGTTTCGAATTTCGTCAAGCGAAAAGCTTTCCCCAAGTGCTTCTGTCATAATGACAACAACAACTCTGGCAACATGTTTCGAGGGATTGATACCGCATGAACTATTTTCGTGATTAGACACAAACTCCAAAGGTAAACACTAAACACAAATTATTCGAACTCACACCTTCGGGATTTCGGTTCGCCGCCCCAGCTGTTGATATAGCAAGCCACACAAGGTTCAAAACGGCCTCTTTATTAACAATGTTTACAGTTAAAACGTTACAGTATAAGATTGTGTTATTGTGTACAAATATTTCCAGTGTAGAAATATACAAGAAATGCAGCGAAGTATTGTAAAACATTGCACTCCTCGGTCACAAATTATGTGGAATGTTACTTTGAACTCGTCATATACTTCATCTTATATAATTAATGTGGATCAAAACAAAAAAACGTAAACAAAGTCCAGCACATGCGCAGATGCGACTGTAACCTACCTTTAAGCAAAATAAATACATAGTTTTGTTAAAACCAGGAACCAAGTTGGATGTACTATCCAACGGAAGGAATATCGCCACAGAAGTAAGACATTTTCGAACAGTTTATTGACACATATAGCCTAGTAATATTGGATTTTAAGTTACGATATCTAAATATTATTTAATTACTTTATTTATTACTCGCTGGGGCACTCTGTGCCCTGGCGAGTATAGGTTTCGGCACGCGTGGTGGATGTCGGATGTCAGATGTCAGATTTCCGATCGTCGTTGATAGCCACCTTGCATTTTGAAATAACCTTGCATTTTGAGGAAAATTCGGGAAAATTTAACAATTTTACAAGGAATTTCGCATGGAAACAGCAACCTTCGCAAATCGTAAGTCGTAAGTTTATAAAGTTTTATAGAGAACCGAAGCAACACCGTTCGATTCAGCGTAAGAAATTGTACTTACGGATGTCAAGTGTATTACAAAACACCAGTATTCTAGTGATTTATGGCCTTTGAAAATCAAGCGACATTGTATTTGTTGATAAATCGTTCGCAGTACGTATACTATTGTTGAGAAATCACTCGAGCTACAAACGTTCTTGTATTTGTAATGCCTAATGGCGCAATAAGGATAAAAATACCACCGTTCGATTCAGCGTAAGAAATTGTACTCACGGATGTCAAATGTATTACAAAACAGCAGTATTCTAGCGATTTATGGCCTTTGAAAATCAAGCGAAATTGGTCAAATTGTATTGTTTACGTAATTGTTGACAAATAGCTCGCAGTACGTTTCATAGTGTTTTGTAATGCCTAATGGCGCCATAAGGATATATCCACCGTTCCATTCAGGGTTAGAAATTGTACTAATTACGGATGTCAAATGTATTACTAAACAACCGTATTCTAGCGGATTTATGGCCTTTGTCTTTGAAAATCAAGCGAAATTGTGTTCTTGATAAATCGCTCAAAATTATTAATTAAACTAATTATAAAAATACAGTACGTTTCATCCTTGATAACTTTGGTATCATTGGTTTTCTCTTTTTCGGCCGTATACCAGTGGATTCGTCTCTCTCCAGTCTTCATTTTGATAGTATTTTGAGCTCAAAAATATTTTATTTTGAACGTTTTAAAGCGCAGTTTAATCCTAGACCTAGCGTACGGACCAACTGACAGTTCTTGAAGAAGGATTGCAGCGTTAGTAATATAACTCAAACTTGCAAGCCAGGGTCTTTCAGCCTGCGCTGCGAGGTTGAATATAACTTTACTTGTAGTGTAGGGTAGGGCCTACCGCATTTTAGTACTGTGTCAAGCCTTTCGAGCTCGTTTTCGACCTTTCCGCTATGTATTGGTGTATGATCATGTACAGTAATGTGCGTATTTGTATAGCCCCAGCGAGTTAACGCTCCGTAGAGCGTCTTGTTTTATATAGATCGAATTGTACCTTGGTATATTTAATGATTCGTTATTAATTTATCAATAATACGATATGCGATACTTCCTTTGCGTGTGCATGTGTGTTTATATGGATTTTGCTAACCAGTCGTCTCTGTTCTGAGGAAACAGAAAGAAATCTTACGCAAGCCTTCGTGATTTGTGCAGTCCCGATTCACCGAAAGATAAAAGTTTTTCTGAGCTTTGTGAAATGTTACCTACTCATTACAAACCGAAACGTTTGGTTGTAGCCGAAACTTATAGATTTTATCGGTGTATTCAAGAAGAAAATGAAAATGTTTCTGATAATCTGATTACAGTGCACGTTTGCGACATTGTGCTTCCATGCACTTGTGATTTTGGTCAGTTCTTGAACCGTTCTCTGCATGATCAATTTATATGCGGAATTTGTAATTCAGCTACTCGGAAAAAGTTACTGAATGAAGACCATACTTTTCAAGATGTGTTAAAAGTGGCCATAGCTGATGAAGCTGCTAGTAAGGAGACTTTAGCATTTCAAAACAATACGAAACCAGTGAATGAATCTGTGCATGCTGTGGGTAGAAATCAAATTCCTGATAAGTTTTCAAATAGCAGGAATACATCAAATTCCAATAACCTAAGACCACCATTGCCTACCGCCCAGAAATTTTCATATGCCTGTTATTCCTGTGGAGGTACTGAACATTCTCGGACCCAGTGTAGATTTAGAAATGTTGTATGCAGCCGATGTAAGCGGACTGGTCACATTGCTCGTGTTTGCAAGAGAGGTAACATGCTAAATAACTTTGTCGAACAGAAACTGAGTTCAGATGATGTGTTTCTTGAGGAAGAATTATTTACGGTTTTTGATGTTAACTCCCTATACAAATCAGAAACCTTGAAAATTGAGAATCAAGAGTGTTCCTTACAATTAGATACTGGTTGTGCATTGTCCTTGGCCCCCCAAACATTCTATGAGCAATTTTGTTCCCATATCCCTTTAAAACCTACCGCAGTGAGATTATCTACCTATACCGGTGAAAAGATTCAACCTTTGGGACAAATCAATGTTATTGTTACTTATGCTGGAACTCGGCACTCTCTTCCATTACTGGTAGTACCACAGGGCTCTGGTGTTTTATTTGGAAGAAACTGGCTAAGGTGTATAAAGCTAGATTGGAACAATTTGCCTGGAATTGAGTTACCGTCATTTACTACCACAGCTACATGCTCCAAGATTTCTGAAAATAAGAATACATTGGACTCACTCCTGTCAAAATATGATGAACTGTTTCAACCTCAACTTGGGTGTTACACTGGTGATGCTGTAGTTCTCAATGAAAGTAAGGGAGCTGAATTCCATAAAGCACGTCCAGTTCCATATGCAATACAGACACGATTTGAAAGTGCTCTACTAAAAATGGAAAAAGATGGTGTCATTGAGAGGATTTCGTCTGCTGTTAGTGCTGCCCCTATTGTTACGGTGGGCAAAAAGGACGGTGATGAAGTTCGAGTTTGTGGTG